ACAATCGCAACATTAAGGCCTCATTTGTGAAATTCTAGACCCTCACTGTCGAGCAAATTTTCAGAAATTCATTCAAATGCTTATAAGGGTCATCATGAGTTAGTCCATGGAATGATGGGAGCATTTGTATAGTGTTGGACTTAATCTCATAATGAGCAGTAGTGGTATTGGGTAATTGGATGCATTATGGTGATGTATATGCAGTGGGTGTAAAATAATCCTTAAGTGTTCGGTTGGGCACATTCGAGACATTAGGATCTGCCATCTCTAATGGCTCAACGTATAAATATTCAAGCCTAGGAATACGGGCAGAGGTCCTAAGTCTCCTAAGGGTCCTTTCTAGTTCAAGGTCCAAACTCCACAATTTAGGGCGACAAGAACGACGCCCGTGCATACACTACCCAAACACACACAACAAGTTCCGACTCTGTGCACTAAGTATGAAAGCAAAATACCAAAGGAAGAAATACTCACAACGGTTAAACGAAAACGCTTTACTCGTCTTGCGAATGCTTGACGTGTAGACGTTGTCTCCAACCTCTGTTTGAGCTTTGACTTCTGTTTTAGCACTTTGGTGCTTTGCTTGTGAGTGTTTGCTTCTGTTTACTCACTTTAGCGCTACGATTTTTTTTTTTTTTTTGAAGCTCGGCTGCGCTCCGCTTGCACTTCAGTGATAGCTCCAATTTCAAACGCTCTGCACACTTAGCAACACCAAAAGCATAAAATCCTAAACTAAAAATTAAAATAAGAATGTAACTTTAAATTAACTAATTTCGCCAGAAGTCCCCGGCAACGGCGCCAAAATTTGATGGGTCGTTGAACACACCAAAATTAAATACTAAATTATACCAAATTCTATCAGAATAATGGCAAGTCCAGGTATCGATCCACAGGGACTATTGTGAAATTAAACTAATTTAATTGTCAAATTCCTAAATTAATTTTGATAAAAAAGATTGGTTGCTTATAACCTAATTTAATAATGAGTAAATTAAACTAAGGAATTAAATTATCAATAATAAATTAAATTGGGTTTACTGAATTGGGAAAATATCCTAGGGTAGAGAATTCACCACTAACCACATAATTAGGGTTTCCAATTGAAATCAATTATGCTATGGTTTGAATGGATTAATGCTTCGCAACTACAAGCTCAAAGTATTTAACAAGAAGATCACCACATTCAATATACGAGCACGAACCATCTCAAGTAATACGAACTGTTCACTCTAAACTAAGGTAGTGATACGACTCGTTCCTCGTAGTATAGTTCGTCACATACCTTGAATGTGAAGGAAAAGAAAACAATTGTATGGATAACATTTAACAATCACAGAAAGTCAAATATTCGAAAGAATAATGAAAATTATATAAAACAAACTTCTAAATCACCATACAAATGTTCAAACCTTTACATAATTAAAAATAAAAATAAAAAACTACATAATTACATGGCTAGGGTTTCATCAAAACCCTAGAAAAGAAGACTAGCCACTCATGGAGGAGTGGAAGGAGGTAGAAGGAGAAGGAACCACCATGGGAGACATCTTGGAGCTTTTGTTTCTCGTCCTTTCCAAACCCTAGCCTCTCCCTTTAGGTCAAAACAACTTCCCAATCTAGCCTTTTACTTGCCTTTTTATACTTCCAATCTCGTCCAAACAGGTTTAAAACGTCAGTTTGACTTTCCTAGAAAAAGTCAACGCACGTGCGAGAAAGTCAACGTACGTGCGAAAAAAGTCAACGCACGTGCGGAAAAGTCAACTCTGCCCAAATTCTGTCTTTTTGCTCATTTTATGCTCCAACGATGTACAACCTGATTGACACTCAACACACATAAAATATACAGTTTGACCAACAAGTGAAATTAAGAGATTCTAATTAACGGCCTCAATGATGTACATTTCGGCCTTAATCACTATGATACTTTTGCACCCATCTGTTTCTTTTTCTGCTGTAATGTTTTAGTATTCATCAATAAAGGTTTTTTCACCGATCAAAAAAAAAATAACAAATGACGGGGTAAAAGAATCACGAAAATCTTTTATTAATTGGGAAACAAAGACAAGGGAGAGAACCTTATCTTTTCTTCAAAAACTTCCAAAATAATTATTCATTTTATTTGCTCTAGCAAACACAATGTTCTTATGCAATTCTTATTTCTAGCAAGAACAACTTTCATATATTTTTAGGGAAATACTATAAGAGTGTATACCGTATACACCTTATAACTAAAAATGAAAATAACATAATTTCATACTTTTTGAGTCATAACTAAAAATAAATAAAAAAATCCTAATCAAACAACGTATGAGACATAATCAAAGATCTCATGAGTCATAATTAAAATAAGGTCATAATTAAAGAAGAAAATTGATCGTAACTGAAGAAGAAAATGACATAGCTTAGGGGTACATGTGGAAGGAGGTGTGTAAAGTAGAATTTTTCTATTTTTATTAAAGTTTTTTTTTTTTTTTTTCAAAACTTTTGAACATTTCTAGAACTACCATGAAAGTGAAACCCTTCCTTCATCTATACCTAAGAAGACTTTTAGTTAATTGTGCTATCTATACTAATATGTAGAGAGAGAGAGAGAGAGAGAGATTTATTTATTTATTTATTTATTTTTGAATTTTTTTTTTGAAGGTAATATTGCAAATGGGAAATGGCAGATACGACAAATTACACTTGTAATCCCTTAGTCTCTATAGTTTCAATTGATTTAATTTTAGGAAAATTTACCCATAAGTCCTAGTTTTTGAAACGTTGAACCATTTAGTCCTAAAAGTTTTCTTATGCTCCATTTAGTCCCATTTTTACATCAACATGATGTGAATGATGTAAATAATCTGATGTTTCATTCTATAATTTCAAAATTTATTGAAATCTGATGAACATTAGATGTTTTTCATCCTATATTTTCAAACATTATTGAAATTTGATGAACATTAGATGTTTGAAATCCAATGTTTGTAACATGACTCTGATGTTATTAACATTGTATCTGATGTTATTAACATTGTAATGGGACCTTTCAGTCTATAAGAAAACTTTTAGGACTAAACAGTGCATAAGTTATTAATTTGGGATTTATTGGTGCATCCCCCTTAATTTTAACCATTTATTTATTTATTTATTGGAACAAATTTTGACCATTAAAGTGTCAATTTGTTCCAATTAATAATGTTGTTAGGGTTTCTAAAGAGAAATATTCATTGAATTGGTTGAAATTAAGTCACTGAATTGATCAAGTTTATAAGAGACAAAGTATAAGGACTACAAGCATGACATATGCCACTCATGTGTGCATTTGTCATAAAAAAAAAAATGCTAACAATTAGAATCAATTGAACTAATTTGAGACAAAATAAAAAAATTCAGGGTCAAAATCCAACTAATTAAAATTATAGAGATAAAAATGATGCAATGGCTAAAGTATACGTAAAAATCAAACCAATTGAAATTATAAAAATAGAAATGACATAAGGACCAAAGTATGGAGACCAACGGTGTAATTTTCCCTAACATATAAGTCAAATAATTTTTATGGTGCAATGGAAGTTGCAAGGGCTAGTTAAGAACATTGTGTTCATTGCAATTGTAATTTTAATTATTTACCATATGTTTTGATCTTACAATTTTGTGAAATATTTAATTTTTGTAACATTTCATTCATCGTTGGAAAAATAGAGAAGAAAGAAAAACTTGTCTCTATTTTCCAACATAACTCATTTTCTATTAAATACTAATGCTAGTATGCTAAACAAGCAAACTTATTCAAGCAACAATCTATTTGTATTATGCTAAACAAGCAAACTTATTGAGGCAACAATCTATTCGTAGTCTTCATTTAAGTCAATAAACTAACTTAAAAGATGAATACTAAGAGCTTATTTGGTGCAATTTATTGTAAGTTAAAAGGTTGATAATAAAAAAGTATAAATCAAAACACATTTTCCCAGCTTTTAAATGATCAATTTTTTTTTTCAATTTTTTAAAATTAATTTTACTTAATAAACTATAAATATAAATTATACCAAACAATGACACAAATATTCAAAATAAAATAAGTTATAAATCACTCAAATAAACTGCACTAAACAATATGATATATTACTGTCACCAAATAGCAATGATCTGTTGGTTCAGTGGTAAGGAGTTTGTCCACATCGCTCAATAGGTTCAAGTCTCCCCCATAGTAGATTATTGGGGTTACACCTATTTCTTAATATCTAAAGTACGCTGGAACCTTAACTTTGGTCCCAACATAGGTTATGTGCGGTGTTAATTTTAGCAGATGCTTATGAATATTAAAAGACAATACTCCCGAATAGATGTGTGGAGCGACCTGCTTGCACATCTATTTTTATTACCTAAAAAACATAATTATCTCCAAATCGGTCACAGGCATTTTTTGAAAAGTGTGTTAAAAGTCATTTCTTAACTTTTAACCTATTTTGAATCACATCATCTCTCACATTTTTTATACGTTTTTTAAAATAAAAAAATCAAAAAATTAAATTTTAACTATTTTCTCAAAACACCCCATAGTCTAGGAAATGCATCTGGCATTTCATGAACAAAAGGGCAAAATTGTAACTCCATGATAAATATGATATTTAATTTAATTTTAAAGAAAAAACGAAATTCCCCAAAAGGGAAAATTCCATGACTCCAAAGTCCAGGTCCCACGCGTCGATGATCCATACGGTGGACGGCACTATCAAAAAAAAATTACCCCATTGGTCCACGTGCCCTTTCACAGTACAAAATTACAAAAACTACTAGCGGTATTATGGACTTCCTGGAATACAGGTGGTTTTCTTTCTCATCTTTCTATATATACGAACACACTTTCCTTATATAGCTCTTGTTGATGTAGCTCTTGTTGATGTTTAATTCACAAACTGACCGAAACGGCGATTTCTAGCCTCCCCTTTTGTCTCCATCACCAAACTTAGTAAGTTTTCTCTCTAAATTTTTACTTCGATTCTCTCTCACTTTCTCTTTCTCTCTCACAAACACACACAAACAAACACAATCGCATTTTCCTTTATTTTCTTTCACTTTCCTTCACTTTCTCGGACTATGATTCTTGCTTCTAGTCCAATATTTCCTCATCCGCACTTGATTTTCTTCACTTTTTCTCACTACAATTTTTGGTTTCTCCTCATCGGTACTTGATGTTATGGTATTTTCTCTCGTTTCTCTCTCTACTCTCTATAAATATTTATTATAAGTGTAGAAATCGGTGTAAGTTGTTTTTCGAGTTAATAAAATTTTCTTTTTTTGCCGATAAAAAAAGGTGTAGAAATCGAAGAAAGGATGGGGAGGGGGAAGATCGTCATAAGGAGGATCGACAATTCTACGAGCAGGCAAGTGACGTTTTCCAAGAGGAGGAACGGATTGCTGAAGAAGGCGAAGGAGCTGGCGATCCTGTGCGACGCGGAGGTAGGAGTTATGGTGTTCTCCAGCACCGGCAAGCTCTACGATTTCTCCAGCTCCAGGTCCTCTCTCTCGCTCTCTCTCTCTCTCTCTCTCTCTCTCTCTCTCTCCTTCTATGCTTCTCTTTTTTTTTTTTTTTTTCTCAATGATTATGAATTTGATATGATATTTTGTCTTATTAAGTATTTCAACCTATTTTATCTTTTTGTGAATTTTAGTCAAAAAAACAGTCCAAACCCAAACTTGTCAAACATTTGATTACTAGATCACTCTTATTTGGATAGCTAGCATTGGTTACAAAACTCACTACACTTTGCACATATATTCGAGCAATATGTGTCAAGATTTTGTCCTTTCGATATACGTTCAGCTATATTGATTACAATGAAAATATGTATTGCTCGGTTCCCAATATGTATCCATTCATAGTTGATTCACGATTCAAATATAGTCTGTTTAACCACTATAAAGGTTTTTTTTTTTTTTATGGCTAATGATTTTTAAAAATTTACAGCCGTGATCTCATTTGATTTTCGATATGTATCGTTTGATATGCTCAATACTTTTACGCCACAACCAATACTAATATTTCTTTAGATAATGCTATTTAAAACCATCGATGTGACCAATTGGGATATTGACACTGGACTAAATGTTTTGGTCCAAGATCACAGCCTCTATTGGTATTTATTTTAGAGAACATCAATCCTTCTCCTTAAACGAGAGAATGCATAGTCTCATCTGTGGGAGCTGGGAAACTTTCTGCATAATGCTGCAGTATTGTAAGATATTTTATCCAGCTCAACGTTTTAAAAACGGCCATCACGTATCGTATCCGATACTATCATTCCCCGATATATCAACTAACACTGTCCGATATCATCGTATCACCAATATCAGTATTCCTATACGGTTATTTAAAACCATTGCTTTGTTCAAATTCAGTTAATCGGCATAGCAAATGGATGTACTCTTAAATGTAGATGGATTGGAGACAGTTTATTTTTTATTTTCAGCTCAACTTATTTATCATAGCCATATCCCAAGGCCAACTACCTAGAGTAAATTAGCTTTGGCGTAGCCATACTGTCATATCACCTCTTTTCATGGTTTCTCTGTGCTTTTATTGAACTTGTGTTTGCTAATGAGAATTCTTGTACAATATAAGTAATGTATGGTTTGAACGCTGAAGAAGAGCAACAATAACACTAGCACTTATACCTTTAAATGGTTGACATTGCTTCAAGAATGTGAGATTACTATGGAGATTGTGGAATTAGATTCCTGCTTAGTTTGTAAAAGTAATTCTAGTTTGAATATATAATCAGAAATTAGGAAGCATACATACGGATACGAGATACGGATAAGACACGATACGGATACAGCGATACGACAAAATTTTAAAAAGTAGGATACCGATACGGCTAGAATACGTTTGTGAAAAATATATTTTTTAAAATTATTAATAGTGAGTTATACATGAGCTAAAGAACGTTGAGAAATCACAATGTAATTTTATAATGCAAAATACTAACATTTAAGAATTTTGTATTAATTTAAGTTAGTAGCTTGTTTATTTTTTAAATTTTTAATAAGTCTTGTAAATATTTCATTTCAATATCAAGTTTAATATATTTATATTACAATAATAGAACAATTCACAACTTGTCCCTATGCTTTTTCCTTTGACACTAGTGAAAAATATTGTATTTAAGTTTACTTGCTTGTTTATTCATTAATATTTAATTTACCATTGTTATATTCTCTTGTTAATTCTTACTTTCTATGTAGTTATAGGGGACATGCATGAAATAATTAGGATACATCAATTTGATAAATTCTATTATTTAACTCAGTATGTTCTTCTTATCAAAAAACTTAACAAAGTATTAGAAAAATATTCTTATATTTATACTTTCAATTATATTATATTATATTACTATGCTAGAAATGTTACAATTCTAATTTCTTAAAACAAGTAAACATGACTTGAAATATCTAATACTCCAAAATTAAGCATCCGATACTCCAAAATTAATGAAAAAATAATTAAGAAGTATCCGATACTTTTAATAAGTATTCGATACGTATCCACAAGTATCAAAGGAGTATCGGTATCTGATACGGATACGTCACTCTATTTGAAGTACGTGTGCTTCATAGATCAAAAATCACTTTTTCTTTCCAATAAGTTTCAAATGATAGAATTGAAACCCTGATTCTGTGTCTGGGTTTTCTGTTTCTACCCTCTATTCTCACAATTCATCTCTTCTTGGCCCTCAGCTTAAGGTATGCAAATGTGTTTGGAACTCTTTATTGCCCCCTAGAGTTTCTTTTTCTTTTTTTGGCTGGCCGGGAAAAATAAGATCAAATGTTCAGATTTTTTGCTCAAGATTGGTATCCTGGACAGCAATGCTTCACCCCCTTGTCACTTTTGCAGCTCTGAGTTGGAGTCTTCTTCTCATGCCCTGCTGCATTGCCCATTTTCTTGGTCAATCTGGTCTGCAATTGTTGAGGAATTGGGATTATATTGGTGTATTCCTAAATCAGTTGATGGTCTGCTTTCTTGGTGGATGAGTGGAAAATTTCATAAGTTTGACAGATTAATTTGGAGAGTAATCCTCTTAATTGTCCTTTGGTCTATTTTGGAAACTTAAAAATGAATGTGTGTTTTCTAATGCACAACCCATCTCTTCTGGTCTTCTAGAACTCATCAAGTTCAGATCTGCAGTTTGGCTCAAAGTTTCCATTAAGGATTTCCCCTACACAGTGTTGGACAATCTTCACTATATTTAAAAAGATTAAATTCTGTTGTGTACAAAACAACAACAAGAATAAAAGAAATAGAGAGAATGAGAGAATTTGTTTGATTACAAAAATCAAACTCGAAATAAAAATAAATAAATAAAACCACAGATTTTATTTTGTTACAAAAAAAAAATAAAATCTAATTAAATAAACAAATAAAAAACAGAATAAAATTAAACAACTTACTTGGTTAATTTATTTGAATAACTTTTCTGATCAAGTCCAGTGTTTAACACTGTGTCCTTAAGACAGATTCGTCATCTCCACGGTGCTTTCAGAATTTGGACGTCTATCTCCCAGGATGAAATGATCTACCACAAACAATAGCAGCACTACAAAAATGCTTGAAGGTCCAATCCCGACCAGTCTTGGTGCTCTAACCAAACTTGATGACCTGTAAGAACGAATTACAATCTTTTGTACTAGACAATTAATAGGAAATTAGTGGTAACCGTGCTATGGACGGCATCTAAAAAAATTAATAATATATTTTTATATAAAATAATATAAATATTTAAATTTTTGTATATAAATTATGAAAATAAAAAAGATTGAAATTTATTTTGTATTCATTTTAATACTTTAAATTACAATTGTTATTTATTTTTATAGATACAAATGTGAGTGGATGAATGGGTAAACGATATCCGATTAACTTGATTTTTTACAGGTGTGTTCTACTTAATGTATTCTAAAATGTGAACGATTTGGATTATCAAAATGGGCCCCGAAAAGGGCCCAATTGGCTGTACAGCTGTGGCTGCTGTGCACCCCCGCACAGCAGCCACCTCAATTCCTTTAATTAAAAAAAGAAAAGAAAAGAAAAGAAAAGAAAAGAAAGATATAATTTCATATTTTCTAAGTTATAACTAATGTTAAGATAATTGTATGAAGAGAGAAAAGAGAATCTTTGGTACCCCTTGGGGCACACCCCAAGTATCTCACCCTAAGCCTTATAAACCCTTTCAAAACCTCCCACCAAATCAATGTGGGACAAGCCAATTTACAACCTTAAGGAATTTCCACCAAAACTCCATTTTCATGGAGCACACTTTGGCTTCAATTTCCCATTCACTCGGTAATGGTTTTGAGCAACCAAATATACCACGTGAATCACAACGCGGCATAGAACGCGTTACCACTTTGACCCGAGTAAATCGATGCTCGGGGCCCACCTAAAAAATAGACCAAACTTGAGAAAAAATTCTGGTTTTTACCCAGAATTTTTCCACCATTTCCAACACACAGTTGATGATCTTGTCTTCAACTGGAGACAAATCAAGGGTGGAGCTTAGTGTTTTTTTTTTTTTTTGGAAGTCTTTAGCTATCTGTTAGAAACTGCTATGCAGCTATCTGGGTTGAAGTCTGTTTGTTCTGTTGTAATCTGCCCTGTAATCTGCTCTGCCTCTGTTGAAGTCTGCCTCTTCTGTTTGCTGTTCATAACTGCCCTCGTTTTGTTTCTGGGTGTTTGATCTGCTTCTGTTGAAGTCTTGTGCAGTGCATTGCAGTGTTTTGTATGCTATTTTTGGTTCTGTTATGTATTTCTTTGCTTGTTCTTTGCTGCTGTTTTTTGTTTTCTTTTTCTCTCTTTTTGTTTGTTTCTCACCAACTAGGAGGTTTGAGCTCGGTTTAGCTCCTAGCTCCTCTTTATTGATGTTTTCCATTGTACTATGTACGTGCCTCATCAATAAAGTTTTCTTTGCCGATCAAAAAAAATAATAATAGAATTGTAAGAACCTGAAATCAAATTTTTATTCCCTTAAAATTCCTCAATGTTTCATTCCTTGTTGAGGGCTGGGAGGAAGGTAGGTTGCTTCTTCGAACCTACTTTTGATCTAATTGTTAGGATGATTTTATAGTCAAGCAAAGTCTTATATGAACTGGCCCCAAGAAGCTTTAGTGAATATTAAACCTGAGACCTGGAGGAAGTATACTTCCAAGCTCTAAGTTGTGCCCGCTAAGCCAACCCTTGAGATTGCTCATTTCAAACAAGTTTCAATCATACAGATAACAAAAGTACAAACAACTTAGTTTTTTATAATACACACCTTATCGACCTAAATAATATGTTATTCAAATTTAACTTAAAATATTTAACGAATTTAAAAATGCATTTAAATTTAATGTATTTACATTAATTTTAAATAATTTTTTAACGAGTTGAATAGAATCAAAATTTAGCAATTTGATTCATTTTACTAAAACTAAAATATAAACTACACTTTTTTTTTGTTAAAAAAATAAAAAAGAAATT